TTCAAATCAAATGTAAGAAAAACATCTGCAGAACGTACTTTGGCCTGGACGATTCCAATTATTTTGGCCATTGTTAGGAGCTGTAGTCGTTCCTAAAGCTATTTTATTGTATCGTATCCAAGTCGTGTAAGAGACAAATGCCATCTCCATGACAAACTGGAGAATAAGATAAACTTCTAGCAGTTTTCTAAAGTGCACCGCATATTCCCATTGAAAATGAGGGCTAGATTTGAATGCCAATTTAGCTCATACATAGCGCTACCTAGAGGGACCATGCTCGGTGTATCAGTCTCACATTTGATGAATCTCGACTGTATAGTGAGCCTGTGCCGACTCAAATCAGCAAGTCGATCCAAGTACGAATTACTTACTAGTAATGCTCCCTTTTGCTCTATCTATCGCTCTATTGCTTCTTTTCTTTATGGAAAACACCTCTGAACCAACCTGGACCTCCTTGACCATTCCAGCCGTTGTTGAAGCCGTTGTTTGGAATTTGCAGCCCTGAACAAAATTCATCCATTACGACAGTCTCTTCAGGGACATGGCATTTCAAATCAGATTCGGGGATCAGAACAGAATTCATCTACTTCCAAGTATTTTTCTTGTTCTGGCTTTTCCTTTTGTTACCACCCTCATCCTTATTCACTACCGACTTTCGAAGGCTTTCAACTCCACAACATTCTTTTTTTTCAGCTACGTACAAGATTTTTGACACAAATTACCATCCAACTACCAGTCTGGGAGAGAATTCGACAAAAATCACTGCCATACTAGGGGAAGAGGGAAGAAGAAGAGCTTGGCAAAAGGTATAGCTGAATTTCCAAACTTACTTTTTTTTATAATACTATTATTATCACTTAATCACTAATCAATTGATTATCTGAGTTACTAATGTAACGGTTCTCTTACGGACCGTTCCGCGCATCGTAAAAACGTTATTCAAGCAAATTGCGTCGGAATGAATCTCATGCTTTCCCTAATAAACTGCAAAACTGGTACTTACCTAAGTTAACCACTGGGGTATCACCTATCTGTACTCACCAGAATCTTATTTTCCACTTGATACAAGTTTTCCAACGATTGAGTATGAACTTGATGGGGTTGGAACTGAAACAGCCTCACCTGGCAAACCTCCATTCCAGTTATTAGGAACGTTGAAGGTGCTGAGGCCCGGGAACGGTAGAAATTGGGCTAAAACACTCGGCTTATCAGTCTAATTGACACTCATTTCGCTAATTGATCAATTCTGAGGCTCCTGCACTACTTTATGTCTTCATGAATGTATACTAATTGAAAACTGTTCTTTCTAATTTATGAATAATTATGATATTTGCTAATTCAACCGGAAAAAGGTCGCTGGAATAGCAAAAGCAAATTTTTCATTTAACGATTCTCAACATGGGATTCGTTCGCTAACTAACATGAATTTCCCTTGAAATTACTAGAATACGATCTGTAGTTACCTTGAGAGTGAACAGCCGTAACTGTTATGGTAATTAGAATCAGTAACAATGTCGATTCCATAGTGATTGCCGCTTTTTTGACTGAAAGAGCCGAGAAATGGACGATGAATTGGTGATTCAACTAAAAGAAATCTTACTTATACAGTCCCTAGGTAGATCCTCACTGGGCTAACCAGCCTGCATTCAAACCCTCCAAGAATACTTGATGGAGGTTAAAGGCATGGCACATCCAAATTAAGGGCATAACAGTCCCATTCATTTTTATTAGCAAAAAAAAAATGGAGCTCACCTTTTTATCACTGCAGAAGTGTTCGATCACAATAGAAGGAATACCTGCTTGACTACTGGATGTACCGGTTTTTTTGGGCAGCATAACTATTACAGTGTAATAATGATGTTATCTTCTAAATTCAGCTGTTGACGTAGATACACCCCCGATTCTATTTATTTTTGCAATTTTTGAGCAGCAATTTTGGAGAGATATTTTTATTAATGTAAACAAAACTTCGTTGCTGTCTTTGCGCATCACTCTGAAGGCCAGTAGGCGTGTAGCGATTATTGAACCATTTTATCGATTAGCAAAAGTAATATTTGGGACAGTGTTGGAAAGTAGCAGACTGCCAGTTCTGGAAGAAGTCCAAATACTTTTAGTAAAAGTCTATGGCGATCACTTTGGCAGGAGAATGACCAGAGACTAGATGTCCTATTCCTGATTTGGGGATAGACATACTCTTTGAGCAGATGAGGCTTGAAAAGCCTGAAGTTTGAGGTTCCTTCATATGAATGGGAATCGCAACCATACAAAGGCGATTTTCAGTGAAAAAGCTTTTGATTTCTCTTGAGGATGCTGTAAAAAAATTTGCAAGTGATTCCTTTTTGGGTTCCTGTTAAGACTCCAGATTTTGAAAATTCAGCGAGCTCACGGGTGCAGGCATGAGTCTATTTCCATAGCCTCTCGGCTATCCTTAATAAAACACAGTTGCAACATTAAAAAAGAGGGAAATAAATTCAAAAAGGTTCCTCGATCCATCTCCTTTATTTCTAGTTTTTGGATTTTTAGATTTCTCATAGGGTTTCTAGATTTTGAGAAGATATAAATTCATTGACTATGTCAACGCGTTAACAAGAGCCAGAGAGTTTGTCGAGTAAAATGAAAGTGCACTAAAAACTTCAACAAAAGTTGATTTCACTAAACCTCATCGGCCTCTGGGTTAGGTTTATTGGAAAAACGCCACCAGAAGTGTAGGGAGTTTTATTCAGGACTGATCTGATCGCCCTTTATAGCTTTTGAACAGAGGATGGCACCCCGCTGCTTTGACGATTTTGGCACCGAAACGTCAGCCTAATAAAATATTGTTACAATTTCGGTTACACGGCTTAAAAAAACTTAAAACTGGAAAGAAGCATGCCGAAATTTTTAGACAGTCGCACTTGGAGGCTTTGACAATTTTTCGAAAAAGATTTCATGAAGAGAAGCGGGCAGATCGTTTTTTATGGTCTCCATCCGGTTGTTTTTCAAGAATTTCATTCGTTCGAGAATACTTGGAAAGCGTTTTTTCACCAATCATTGATGAAGAGGACGAACACACCATTTCAAATTGCATTTTATTGGGCTGAATATTAACTGCGAGTTATGAAGAATAAGATTCATTAACTTTACTGANCTATGTTTGTCTATTTGCTTTTGTAGATTATTCTGCATGACTGACCACCTCGAAAGAAAGCCAATATTTGTAAACAGTGATGCCTATTCTACTCAGCTTTTCTCCGAACTGCATCACTTCTAGGATTTACTCTGGCGAACTTAGTTGTTGTGTGAAAATCTATTCCTCTGAGCTTTCGCCTAACATCCCAATTTATGCAATCCACTGTCAACACGATTATGATTACAGCAATCTATACATTATTCATATCGGTGTCTTCACCCGAAGTATTTATAGATGTAGAGTGAAGATTCTCCATTCGAACGTAGTCAATCCCAAGCTGGGGCAGTCGGATCACCTTCTCGCACGTAAGTGGGCATTCCCATACGTGGAAGTAGGAATCGACGCTTTAGAAGTGGACGACGTTGAGCTGACTGTAGAAACATCAAAGCATTCGGGTTCACCGGAATATGCACTACTCGTTGTGCTTGACCGGCTGAAATGAGGAGAAATATTTGAAGGGACTAGACCGCAAAAAAAAATTCTAATGGAATAGGGACGAAGTCTAGGGCACCAGCAAGTAGCCCCTTCTAATGGTAACTCCCTTGAAACGGCACCGTCTAGAGGAAACGTCGACACGGACCCTCCTGCTGAGAATCCCTTTATCAACTTCGATGCTAACAAGGTGAATATTTTGCAGCATACGGAGCGGGACTTTAAAGAGTATGTTGATGAAGTCACAACCTACATCGAGCAGCTGGTTCTCGTTCATCTACTTGAACCTTAGAAGCACCCAAAGGTTCTTACCAATCAGTTCGCATTATTGAATAAGGTCCATATACGGTCAGAGGGCTTCCAGAAGTAGTTAACCAAATATCCTATGAGGATGGAACTTACCTTTCTGTCCACGGTACGTAATATAGGACTCGGCGCAGACGAGCACTGCAAACAGAAGGATTAATCGTCGCATCTGTACTGGTGTAGTGATCGGAACGAAGCCGAGTTTCCTGGAAAAGGCCACCTGATTGAGATAAATCTTGTTTTTCGTTACCAAGGAATGCCAACTACTTCAATGCCGTGCCTGGTAAAGGTAGAGAAGTCAAACGAAGTCGTCAAAGGTTGAGATGCTTTGGCAGCTGTTCAATGAATCAGGGAATATTCTAGATATAGCTCATTAGGAGCTTTGAGGGTTCCGATCGGATTTTGATGGCCCAGTTAATGGTGTGGACTTCAGGATTAATTCATCCGTAAAATTGATAGGAGAAACCGAGATTCGAAGGAAATTTAGGAATTCCGAAGGAAAAGCAGTTAGAAAAAAATGCAAGAGGAAGTGGAAGAAAAAGGAGTCGGTTTCGCATTGAAAATTTGACATGGAGTCCTCCATGTCGGACCCATTTACATAACTGGACCATCTTCAGGAGAGGTGTGGAGGTTTGAAAAGAGGACACCTGAGCTTGGTAGTCGAGCAAAATATAGTAGTGATGAAGGGTACTGCGTTTTGGCTTTTCTATATGTATAAGCAACAAAAGTGAGAAAACGAGAACTATATGAAAGGACTGAATCTATGCGCTCAGTAGGCGTCACCTGAGAAGGCATTTCCATGAGGAAAAAATGAGGTGGTCGCTGGTTTTCCTCCCGAATACTTTGGGGTGAATGTCGGATAGTTCAAGTACATATCGCCATGCGATCGGTACAGCGAACGAATCTGGTGTCAAAAACCTTTAAAACCTGCTCCTGACTCCGATTGGAGATCTACGCTTGGGCACACTTCGGGGTGAACTAATCAGAGCCAGAAACCTTACAATATTATCCTTTTGATCCCATGGTGAAGCCTTGTTTCACACGTACTAGTGATCTCATGTATAGAGATTACAAAAAAAATGTCACGAGAAATTTTGGCTGTGGACCTCTTCCTTGACAAGTACTGCGAACCGTTTTTTTTTCTAGAAATAGCCAGGTCCTTGAGCTAGCTGGTAGTTCTACTGAAGTTCCATCAATTCCAAAATCTAAAAGGATAGAGTCTTTGGGCGTCAAACAACCCCATCTTAGGGATGCGCCCACGCATTCGACTTTCATTCAAAATCGTAGTGGCGTCATGAATGCGTATATGGACTATACAATGTCATGGCCAGCCGATGTTCGAGCCTCTGCTTTTATACTCCCAGACGAGTCTGGTACCAATTGAACTACCTCAGAGGAATGGAAGGCTTGGTTGGCCTAGGCGGATATCGATCCGAGTTTCGAACCCCTAACCGTGCGTGTGTGAAATAGGCCACATGCCACTACACAACTTCCGCTTTATCAATTATCATTTATCAGTTATAGCTATCACTATCAAATAATGATCATCTCTAGTAAGTACAACTATGATACCCCATCATTTCATTTGTTAGAGAGAAGTCAAAAAACCCTCTTAAACTCTAGGGCTAGATGCCAATAGGAGCCAACGAGGCAATGGAAACGTGGAGGTTTCACGCCTTCAGTGCAAGTAGATCGAGCAGGCAAGTCGTGCTGCTTCTCATTGATGGCCTGCACTGCCATGGCACAATGTGATAGTAAAGCTAAACAGTCGGCTGTGCTTCGTTTCAAAGCCCTAATAAAAGAAGGTAGTAAACTTAACTTTTATGTCTAGGTTAGGCTTGGGGTGCTACAAGTCAACGCCGAAACAACGGTAGTGAGGGAGGCTCTAATCTCCAGGAAGGGCAACTGACTAATCTCAATCACCGAAATAAATGGTAAAGTACTGTATTCACCACCACAGTCCATCACCGAATGCGCGAGAAAAGTCTTTGCAAGCCTCCTCTACCAAACAGGAACAGAAGGGCAATTACTACTGCTTAGGAACAGTGAGTTACAAGCACAGATATGTTTTGAATTTCACAGTCCTGATTTAGCCTCAGAAAAGTCCACAGGAGGCAGGTACCCGAGAAGGGCTTGCTGAGTTCCACCCTCGATTCGACGTTAGTGAAGAATTTGACGAGCAGGAACCCCGAACGTTATTTAAATGGGCGAAATATGCAGTCTTGAGAATGGATCAATTCCGAATTCAAACAATGAGCAAATGGACTCAGTGCAGTCATTTAAACATTTTGTCCTATTTGTAAAGGCTTAAAGGCTTTTCATAGGATCTCTTTGGTGATTTATAAAAACGTCACCTCCCGATCATTTCGGCTTTGAAAAACTATTGAGATTATCTGGCTGCTCAGATGATCGACAACAACATCTATGAAGGAATGACAGGTTTCTAAGCTCCTTTATTACGTATGAGGTTTTGGACAGCTGTTCCAGATTGAATACTCATTTGCTGCTACTTTTTAATAGGCGAATAGAGACCGAAAACTCCGTTGAATACCTTCTGGGTCAGCTGAAGCTGGAATATTGGTTGAACCCGAGAAAAAACGGAATAAATAATTACTTCCAAAAAAAGGACGGCCTGAAAAAGATCAGACTAGGTAGTATTGAGGAAGCGGATGAATGATGGATGGATCTGGAAGGGGGCGGGGCCTAGCCAAAGCTGCTTATACTGAATCACTATTCAGAAATTCAAATTTGAATTATTAAGCGATATATAGAGACTAATAGGTAACGATTGTCACTAATTGGAAGTGCTTTCGGCTGAAAAGAGAGCTCTAAATAGTAATTCACCCTTTTTCTGACTTAACGGGAAGAGACTTGAACTGCTTCGAACGGGACGAGTTTCGAACTTTTTCTTGTTAATGAAGTTGTCACTAAATTTTTATTCATTTGTCTATTTATTCGGTGTACGCTTAGGTGCACCAAATAAATAAACATCAACATCAATTCCACAATCACATTATCAACAACGTGCAGTCAAAGAAAAGAAAGGTCAGATAGAAATTTTGCGATATACATTTCTATTTTGAGAATGAAATACAATTTAGCCACTGAATTTGAAATGAAGGGTCCAATTTTGAAAATTTTCGAGGTTTGCCAGATTTGGAATCATCCGACATCAGCAAATATTTAAGCACTTCAAAATATTTAAGCATTAGTAAAATCATCTACAAAAAAAAAGATAAACTGCTTGGTTTAGGACGCATGACCATCTGGAATGAACTGCATTATCAAATTTTTACAGCAGAATCTTTCGAATATGCGCTATGCATTCATAATTCTGCTAGAGATGGGTAGCTGTCTGGGGCTATCAAAAATTACTCAGGAATATCTGCCACTATCAAATCTTGCAGGCTAAGAAACACGCCAATACCACTTCTGTAAGTGGAATATTTTTTTTCTTCAAGAAAAATGCATCAATGGTGCTAGTAGGCGATGATTCCTTTTTTCGCCTTTCAGACTGTTCAGTTTTTTCAAAATCTTTTTCGTTGTCGTCGGTTTTGGATTGTACAACTTAACTAAGTTCATGTTTATTGAGAGGACCTAAGAACAGCGTTTGAGCTGTTCGATCTAATTTTAGATGTCTAAAAGGTAAATAACAGAGTAAATAGTAAGTATAAAGAAGTTGTTATCGGTAAGCCCAAGGCATATGTATTCAATTTCGTTTTGGATTTCTATAGTTGTTTGGGTAACTATTAGGACCATTTATGGAACCGCCATCGTTTGAGTCAGACGTCATCAACGACAGCTTTTTCTTCTTGTCACAACACATTTTTCTGCCATTCAGTATGTTTTCCTGAATGAACCAAGAGGTTGCGAGGTCTGTGATGAAGACAAACCCTGAAAGGGCCCTTCTTAACATCTCTTCTTCGTCATTTCAGAAAGAAAATGACATTCAGGTGAAATCTTGGATACAACGGGAGACTGAGTCTTCTTGAAGCTATCCGGAAGGCTCCAGATGTCCTTCCCTACAAAGCTCTGTGAAGCGAAACATCAGAATCAGAGACGAGGGAAACGGTAACCAAAGTAAACATAGTAATCTTGGGGACAAGCAGTGGCAAGAATAACCAGAAATTCGGACAAGCATGGGAGAGATGTGAAACTTTTCGGAAGGGAAGGGATCGACTCAAGAAAGGAGGGGATGGGGGCGGTATGAAGTGGGATATGCAGAAATGCAATAATTACGGGCAATGAAAAAATAACTGATCACGCGAAGCAAGTGAAATATGGTAAACTGGAAGAGGAACAAGGAAGGAGGAACCGGTTACATGTCATGGAAGTTGAAGCCCTCAGAGAATACTTTCTCCAGTCGCATTCATCAAAGTTTTGCAGTTTTGCAAAATGGTATCTGTTCTAGCCAGCAAAAACCTTTTCAGTAGCTTCCTTGAAGGAAACGAATAAAAATTCTGTTTCTAAGCGGTTCTCGCTAGAAATTCCGGTAGATAACTAAGAAAACATAGAAATAATAAGCTGTATTGTCCAGACCAAAAATGACTTGCTGTAAGGCCCCCGATCAGCTAAGGAATTTTCAAAGAGCTCAATGAAGTACTTAATCGTGCTCTGAAGAACTGACTGACACCTACGTCAAGGGACATCCCATTACTTGGAGGAACAGTTTACGCCTAACCAGTACAGGGTAATGGCGTGTGGCTCCGCCACGACCTGCAGTATTCTGCCCAATACCTCAATCTCAAGGAATTTCGCCCAGCCCTGAAACCCATTTATTTGGGCTTTGACTCGTTACCTTTGACTATTTCGGGTTTGACTTCTTGGCAAAGAGTGGAGCGCTTTCTTACATAAACTGGAGTATAGTAGCCTGTTTTCGCAAGATGGTGTAATATTCAACAGCTGAAGCCGTCCAGAATCTGATTGAGTGTCGAGTGCATGGCCCTATCCAAGAAGCAATCGATCGACGCTATCCAGTTTAATCCTCATCCATGGTTCCACCCCGACAGCTATGCTTGTCGTGCGAAAGAGTTACAACTGAGTTTAGGTCAAATAATTCGAGTACTGTGAAATTAGGACGTTTTTCCCGAACGAACTAGCCGTGGTGATGAAGAAGCCACAATTGGGAAGCCGATTTCGAGAAGCAATGTTACAAGTGTGTATCAATCAAAGTCGCTTCCGAACCGTTTGCTTTTGAGGGGATAATTGAAGTGCTTACTTGTCCGTCTTGAAATGGAAGTTTCATTCTGTTTTTCGGAAACATACAAATCACGCCAACTAGCTGCAGGTGACTTATGGAAGGAGTCAAGGAAAACAAACAGCGACTCACTCACAATCAACTCTTTTACATTGGCATCTGCTTAGTAAAAATAGCAGATAATAGAAAAATTCAGTAGAACGTCATTCCAGGGAAAGCTTCGACACTATGGCATCTCAGCAGTAATCAATCTTCTCCAAATTAGGTCGTGCAAATGAATTTCTTGCTCGCTGTCACCTGCATACCAGCTGAAAGCAGAAATTACTTGCAGGTTTGTTTCACCCAAAGGCTCAGCTCACAATAACTTTGAGGAGCCTATTTTCAGTCATGTAGCAGAAGTGATGGTGCAGAATATTGCATCAGTGACGAGAAAAAAACCGAAAACTCGAGGAATTTGCGAGATTAAAAGCTTCTGAAAAGTAATCAAGTAGGAGGTGTACGAGTTTACGGCGACAGAGTTGGTGTGGGAGAAGTATTGGACGAGATTTCGGCCGTGTTCAACTTCCTGCAATTAGTTTGAATGCCGAAATTGCATTCCAATATCGCCATGAGTTAAGATCCGGAAATATCTGCTGTTTGAATTCTCATCGAATATCTTCTCCACTGCGAAGGGTGCAATCTCTTCAAGCCCTCCATTTTCACATTAGAATGTACATAGGAACCGCTCGAGCTGATCAATCAATCTGCAGAGACGCTCAAAGTTGCAGATTGCGCCACGCTCCTTAGTCATCCTCGAAAGGGTTGTCGCCTGCGTTCCTGTATGCTTTTGCCATCGTCCACTCCTGCGCGCCGAGTGGTGTCAATCCAGAAAGATACACGTATCCTCAAGGAGCAATTGATAATGGCAATAAGGGGTACGGAAGATTCTAATAACCCTTGGAACCTCTACCAAATCGCATCGTACCAAAATAGGTGGGAGGTTCGAAGGAGGGGTAAGTATACTAGTCATCGTCAGCGTGTCGAAACTATGTTTCCACATACGCGGCTCAATCCATCATTCGTAGGAGGACCCTTAGCTTGTCAAGGATGAACATGAAGGATCCTGACTCGACTAACCGGCGTATAGGCGATGCGTCGATTAGATGGTATGTGACTACCCGAGCCTGCGTTTTACTGGCTCTTGCATGATTTTAGATTTAAACTCGGACTCATTTCCTTTCCCAAAATTCTGCTGCTCTCATTCTCTTGTCCGCTACTACTATTCAATTACATTTTGTCATAGAAAACTAAGATGTATTACAAGATGACGTTCTCAGCGCTATAACATCCATGGCTACCTTGTTGACGGGAACAAAACTCCCATTTACGGCCACTCATCGAAGATGGTCCGCAGTAACCGAGAAGACCACAATTTTATAGGTATCCCTTGGTCAAAACAAAGGAATGACTTCTTAATAAGACCATAAGCGTGCGCTCCACAGTGTTTTTCGAAACCCCCCTGAAACAGCAAAGTGATAACGGATGGGGCGCAAGGAAGGCGACGTGGTTCAGATAGGCTTCGGAATGCTGTAGCTGGGAATTTATCACTCACCTGAGAGACTGTTCTAAAGGGCAGGGCGAGAACTTGTTGCTTAATAAGTCGACGGAGTACACATCCTCTAGGCCATCAGTCTGAGGCTTTGTAAGGAAAAAAGGCTACTTGAGGTGTTTTCAGATGACTACCAAGACGGGCCTGGTTATACTATCCAGAGCTTATTGAAGCTGTATCAAGGGGCTTCCCTAGACACATAACATTCGCTGATCAAATTCCAGATCACTGAATGTTCACCAGATCGAACCCCAACAGTCCAACGAACCCACCCTTTCATGTAACAGAGGTCAGCCAGCTGGTGTCGCAGTCGTTCAGGTGGGTAATAACTAGCCCCAGCCATTCATTGGGCCCCATTTACCATAAGTGATAATATATGGTACAAAAAATGTATGAAATTCGAATGAGCGAGCGCATTCCAGAGCAGAAGGTCAAGATTTCTCCCAAGTGATCTGGTTCTCAGACCTTTTCCCGCCGGACGAATCAAACCGTTCCTTCACTTGCCACTTGGGCACTGTACCTAATGACTTTCTAAGGTTTAGCCTCTTCGCATTTGCTTTAAATTTCATTTCGCTAGTATTTCTTAATATTATCCAATGTGATTTTCGTTGCACCTACCTGTTCTCGCGTTTTCACACCCTGGGATGTTCTTTGAGTCATTTCTATTTGGATTGTGAAGTCCTAGAAGTCGTCCAGTCGGGAGTTCTACCAATTTCAAGGACCACAACATTGTTCAATGATTGAGATACCGGGAAAAGTGGCAAGGAGGGGAGGAATGCCAATCTTTCTTCCTGGACTATAGGTCCGTCCGAACCACTATTAGAAATCACGTAGACCACCGCCTTTACTACTATGGCTGAGAAAAACCGTTTTTGTAAGTGCTGAGTACCCTTGAGGGCTTGGAAAGAGTGATTGAAAAATGTCTGAGATTATATCCACGCCGATGCCCATCAAAATCGCGTTATATCCAAAGAAAATGTAGGGGTCTGGGTGTCGGAGAGAGGTTTGTTAGGGATTTGGAGCCTTTTGAAATAACTTATAGATGATTGGTGTTGATTCAGTGCTTTTATACTCCCATACGATTACTCGACTAATCTCGTGGTCGTTCAGAGGTGAAAGGCTCCACAGGTCTCAGAGAGTAACGGTCCGGAACGGTAGCGACTCTAATTGACCTTGCCCGTGAAGAGAAAAAACAAGCTGAGAAGCTATGTAGGGAACGATTTCATCAAAAATCAACAAAAGGTGACCATCTAACTTCAACAGTTGAATTGAGACGAGGCCTTTTGTTCGATTGGGGTTTGCCTAGGCATGAGTTCGAGCTACGCCCACGCCCGAAGTTTTGCCCATACTTCATGACAGTTTTTTTGAAAGTTTTGTTTGTGAGCCGTTTCTTTTGCATGAATTCAGACTTGAATGCAATGAATCCAGTTAAATTATTGCCGATTAAATGACATCACGAAATGAAAGCCTCAACAAATTCATGCAATTCTAACTACGTCCAAGCGAAGGCCTCGTGATGAACTCTTCGGAGAACATTCCCAGTAATATATTAATTAATTAATTAAAAATGTAATAAGCACATTAAATTTTATTTCCTTCATCGAGGGCATCAAACATCATCGCCTTTCATTCAATTCTCCCCGAACAACCCGTCCCTGTTTTGTCATTTGTCCACACATCATTTACCCTCTTGAGGTAACCGCAAGTAAGCACGTCCAATTACTCCAACATTTTTATTGACAAAAAAGTAGATGTTTGTAAGATGTTCCATGTATCGCAGTGACGTTTCCGTTACTTCCAGTCCTGTCGGTATTCATTGAAGCCGAATCGTGGCGAGAAAATGCTGTTGGCACCAAATCCGAGATAACGTTGGAAGGTGTCATCTTCGGAACTCGGTCGTCGTTTCACATTCTGTACATTGCCCAGCGCAGACAGCGGCTGATCTCCGAACATTCGACTATATCGGTAAGGCAGGTTGATGTCTATAATATATAGAAGTGCTTTAGTTTTGTAAAATATGAGCAAAGGAAACGGTTCAAGTGTGGTATGGTCAATTCAAGGATTCATGGCTAGTCCTGCTCAGCCAAATTAGTCACCCTTTCCTTCCCTTCTGGCTTATCATAAGGGTTGGGATGGTAAAAGACCGAGGGAGCGCGGGTTAAACGAGCACAGCGCGTGAGTCAAGCCGTAATCGTGTAATTTACAATCGTGTAAGAAAGTCGAGTGCATGGCGTGCACCGTGAAAGCAACAACATCCATCGTTGCAGTATATTTGAAAAGTATCAGATTTATGTCTGAAAAGTTTGTGAAGTTTCCAACTCGATGAAAAGTATGAAGCACGCTCATCATTCCTTTCAGGGATGTGCCCTATGTCGGGGCCTCCCACGGATGCGGAGTTAGCTTTGGTTGCCCATCCTGAATACAAAAAACCAAGGCCGATGTCCAAACAGTGTTTCTTCCTTCAAAACATTTGCCCGAGCTCCTTCCTATGTATTTTCTTTCCAACGGTGTCGCTGCCAGGATCAGGACCGCTGCCTCCAACGCTATTCCGGAACCTGGTCACGCAAAAGACCAGGCAGAAGCATATGTATGGGCCTCCGACAGGGTTGATGAACACTTACAGAGCTATGGAGGTGGAACGATCTGAGCGAAATTTGATCTAGCACTGGAACTAACCGTTGGGTTCCTACACCTAGGAGGACTGCTGCACATCCCTTTTAAAAGTAAATAGAGAACCTTTAAAAAACTTTCATAGCAAGAAAAAATGGGGTCTACTCGGTAGCTCGGCTCTCCTGTTGAGTAAGCACTGAAAACCCACATCACATGGGTTGTCTAAGTCCTACACCCGTCAACCCAGCTTAGCTCGTGCACGATGTATGGGGCCGATCCGCCTCCTACGTAGGTTGCCCGAGCTTCGCTAAATTCCCATCAATCAAAGTGGTCATCGTCATATATCCTACCACTATAGAGGTCCTTTAGTGCTCAGAAAGCCATAAAGCTGCAACAGGGTCATCGGCTATGCATGAAGAAAAGCGGATAACTCGTTGCTGGTCCATCGGCATCCTGAATAGTAAAACTACACCTCAAAGTGGGCGAGAAAAGCCCGTCAAGTGAAAAATTCTTTTCCAATCCAAGCAAGAGCTTTTTATAGTCGGTGATTCTGATCAAAGGAAATAAGAAATCCTACAAGTTTGGGTTTATTCAGCTGCACATACTTACTTAGACTTGGTCTAGGTATACCCATGTGTAGTTCCATTGGGCTGTCATTTTTGAAAGCTAAAACATTTGAGCATTTTCAGGAAAACAGCACCTACCTACACCAAATCCGAGTGCACTTTGCTCCAATACGACAAAAACCAGAAGCAATACGGCGGCGTGCATGCTGAATGGGCTCGTCTCTGAAACTGAGTATTAGTGCTCAACTATGAGGCCTTTCTTTACCCGAAAACACGACAACAAGTACAGATCCAATGGTTAGAGAAGACGATGAGAGGTCATTGTGGATGGGATGAGAATCGATCAGGCGAGAATGGGATCCGAACGTAACACCAACATGGACAATGAGTCGATGACTTGACTTCAGAAGGCAGGTCAACGGTAGGCTAAGTTCACTTTACTTTTTTGATTTAAACGACAATGTTGTCTAGTTTGATGGCAATAGTGAGTCGTCCCTTGAAAAAGCTTCCCAAACTACGTGGTTGTCTTACAGTTTCCGCATAAGTAATTCAAGAATTCGAAAAGTGACTAAGTTAGATCCCTGAGAAATCAATGTAGGGTTTTTTCGAGCTTCGTTTAGCTTGTTCATTCAGAGGAGCTCCGAATCCTTCCGAAAGAGTTGGATAGCTCGGACTCAAAAAGAAGTGAATGCCGAGAAGGTTTCCCCAGCCGGAAAGGTGTTCGAATAAGTCTTGTTATCAGTAGCGTTAAGGTAGATTTCTAATCTTCCTTTTTAATTTACAATTAAATTCAAACCTACGAGCACGATGCAACATGAATAGATTGGGGATAACAAACGAATTTTTAGGAAATCTTAGTACTAGATAAAGGCATAGGCAGATAAAAAGATAGAAAGGTGGGCTTAATGGGTAACAATGTAAATTTTATAGAAATGTAAAATATTTAGTATTTATCTGGATGAGTTGAGCCAAGTAAACCAATCAACAACCCGAGAAGCATCCCAAGAAGTTTGGCTGGCTACTCACGCCAGGGAATTTGTTTTCAGGTGTTTTTCCGGGTTGACTAGTTTTACGCAATCACGCAATGAGCAGTAGATACCTTATTTGAGAAGCCACCTTTTAAAATTGATTTGTGGCTGGGCGAATAAGCAAAACCTTTCCTTTCCCGCAGTTGCACGTTCAGTGAAGCATGAGTTTCGAGTGGAGAGCTCAAGTATCCCAATCTCAACAGTTTTTTTACAAGGAGTTGGGCTGCCTACACAGAAAGTTGGGCATATTGCTCGAGTGGGGCTCTGACACATGAAGGTAGAAAGGAAGAAAGGGGGATTTTGTATGACAGGAAACTTTCCAATCACAATGGCTTGCACAAGGCGGAGTAGTCAACTACTTTTTCATTGTTCAGAAAGACGGAGAAATCAGCGTTTGGAATGCCCTTGCTCTTATTTGTCCGCAAAATCCCAGAGAGATCCGGAAACATCCGGAGATCTGAATTGACATCCTTTGCTACTCCGTCCGTCGAGAAACTGGAAAAAGCCATTCTTTTTGTTCGAATGAGAAAAGTGAGAATAGATCGGAGCATTTATTATTCTCTTTGGATTCGAGCAGGTTACGGGTACGGGAAAAAATTGACGATATGTGTGATATAAATTGATATCCCTGTAGATTCAGGATGCATATGCAGTGCAGTCGTTGTGGATTGGGAGGTCACCTGGGAGCTGATCGACTGAATATAATGCCCGCTTTTCATTTATAATCTGTGGAAATACTGTGGCGCCAGCTCGCCCTGCTTCAGAAGTTGCCATCCCAAATTCTCAACATTGTTCAACGAACAACCCGGGACAACCCTCAACAAAGCTAAGCGTGGGGGTTCAGGGTCTCCATTCAGGTATGAAGTTCTGATCCAAGCCATTCAATTTTTCCGCCGAGCCAGCCATTGAAGAGGTTATAAATTATCCTCCACTATTCTGGCGTAACTCTGCGATGAGGACCAAAATATAGCTGTTGTGGACTGATCGGTACGTCTTCAGCACAACATGATGATAAATGGCACCTTCCGGCTAATAATGCTTCAACGTGTTGCCATGTACATAACTCCTCTAAAATCCATTCCTATATGCCTTCTGACTCCATTGCGCGATGGAGCCCTGCGATGATTCAATAGTACTGTCAAGCCCTGCAGTACTGACCACGAAACTTACTCTTGTGGATTTCAACATCCTCACAGGACTTTTGTTTGAAGTTTGAAGTTCCCGGCCGACAGAACTTCAGTAATTGGCTTCATATGCAGAACTGAGTCGGATTACATCTTAGAGTAATTGACATGAAGAGCAACAAAAAGGACCAAACTGCTCCCCATCATGGCAACAAAAGCCTTCAAATCTCTTCAAAATTTGATGGAATCATGACAAAAAGCTCTTCCATGATTGCTGCATAGCTTTGGCCGGATGACTGCATATTTCGGAGCTGATTCCATAAAGAATAGCACCTCCCGAATTCTTGACTTGGGTCTATCAATTTCCGACCGATAGCATGAGCCCTCGGATCGGAAAGGTTTTTCTGGAAAATGTATGGATGGTAAAAAAGGAAAAGAATGAAATGGAAGAAGGCCAAAGGGCATTTGTGAAGGATCCTTATGGTATGAATGGCAGGAACAGCTGGAGGATGTATCAGGCATATACTAAAGCTGCAAAGCAGCGTTCCATCGAGGAAACATGGAAGTCCCTTACTAATCCTACTGAAGACCTACCTTAAATGAGGCAATGCCCTGAAAACCTTTCAGGCAAAAAGGAAAGATGGGAGTATTTCTTCGTGCAAGAGGAATTTCCCTCAATATACGCCATGCACCTGAAACTCTCCAAACTCTTAAACCCCAACTGCTCATCATCTATGTTGTGACAGTCGTATTTGTATAGTTATGAAGGCCGAGTAGATGACTATGCGTCTTTTGATAGGGAGCATTTGAAGATAGTACTGTCTACATTTCTCCACAGGACGTCTATTTTTCAGCGGTTGCCTTTCGAAACTTGAAGGCTTCTAGAATACTCATTCCTCCAGTCACTGGCCGAATCGCCTTGACCCGCAGAACAAACAGCGAATTAAACAGGGTTACTGAGATGAGGTAAAATTTATAGCTCGAGCAAGTTGTCGGGCAGGTTAGGGAAGATGGTTATGGGAAGGAAAGACGAGTCGAGCTAGGGGACGTAGTGGAATTGGACTGTCAAGGAAAAGTTATATCACTGTTCACGTTACTAGGATGCTGATGTAAAATTGAACGGAAATTAAGTAGGTTAGTAATAGGGCGATGAAGTGAAGAAATTAGCGGATGTACCGATGGCTTGCTCAGGAAAAGGAAGTAACTTTGAACGAGGTTCATTTCTCCCCTCTGCTTCAGGGGCAGTTTCCGTAGCGTTGCTTTAGTGCAATTATTATACCTGTCCCATTCTATAGCGAACAAAGACGTTACTCAGACATAGGGCCCATGGGGTGAGTGGCTTCGAACCCCGTCCCAGGTCCGTAAAGGAAGTTGAAAAAGTAAAGGAACCCAGGAGGAAGAGCATTGAGCTCAGTTCTCTGCTAGTGCAAAAGCTATGTTCGGGGCCATAAGTAGCTGGACTATTAGCCTCATCAATTCTGTCCCCGTCTCTGCACCAGTCATTTTGATTTCAGGAAAAAAACAATGAGTATCAGGTATCAAAAAGTACCCACGACATTTCATTTCAATATAATGCTACTTCCTCTAAAATACCCCCTATCCTCCCGCTAAAGAGATTAGTCCCGAAAAAGAATAGACTTTTCAGGGGGACCATAAGGGCTATTAGCTGCCTTCACCTGATGAACGTCCACTTCAATGCATAGTAGGCAATCATTATAAGTCACTCAGTTTATTCAGCGACTACCTGCCAGTTCCACTGGTCATGCCCGAATGAGGGGCAATGGGCTCATGACGGATTTATGGCAATGAAATTCGAGATCGGACAGGATGGGGAGGAGGAGAAGATGACGGCCTAAGATTCGATAAATTCTCATCTCCTGCAAAAGAAAGTTGCCTTTGGTGTCTTTCATGGTGTCTTTCTGATGCCAATGCCAAAGAGCAAACGATTTGATGTGGGAAGACGTACTAGTAAAGCCGGGAATTGGATGGGTCCAAATACAGGCGAAATGGGTAGACACCGATCCCAGCTTTATATGCTTTACCAATGTGACGGGAAGGTTTTCGGGAAAATTGTCCCTGCACTGTTTGGTTTCATTCCTCAGGTCGAATGTTGCAACAGCCAGTAGGGAGGTGAGAAAACATAAGCTCCTTGCCACGTTAAGGGGCCATAATCCAACGGTTCCGCTCAGCATCAAAATCAAGACAGGAAATCTTGAACAAATTACTTTCGAGAAGCTTCTTTACAATGTCAAAAAAGTAAATTGCCAACATCAGTTCCAGAAGAAGCTGGAAAATTCAAAAATTTCATTGGAAGAAATGAACGATGGTTCTTTTGGGAAGATTTAAGTGTTCCTGGCGTCTGAGGCACTACGATTTGCTCAGGTCCAAAACAGGATGTCAGGAAAGCGATAAGATTCCTCCAAGACACTTGGTAACCTGTTTGTAGCGGAAGTATGGATATAATTGCTATGCCAGGAATCAAATATCTCTCTCAATGGCTGTATTTTTGCACTATTTTCTCCAGCTCACAAGAAGAAATCGTGAAAAACTTTTCAAAAGGGTCCAATTATGCTTTCACCGGCGTGCATTCCGAACTTGTGCTATCAAATACGCAAATAGCATACTACCATGGGAAGCGTTGCTGACATCCCATATATAAGTCATGTCTGAACAATGTCTGCTCATGGGAGGCTTGAAATGATGGGGATTCTTCAGTAGCAAAAAACCATTCTGTAGGATTCCCACTACTGAAAGAAGCCTCATCATTTGAAGCCTCACATGAGCAGACATTTTTCAGGTATGACTTATCTATGAAAGGTCAGCAACGACTTTTGATATTCTAAAGTAAACCTCAAGATGTCGGGCACAGCCCAAATTAATCTGAACGGAACCGCCAGGAGAGATTTCTACTCTCGCTGAGAACTATGATCTGCTCTCTAGCATGACAGTGAGCTTTCACTATTACTAGAAGCTACATATAAGCTGTTTCAATTGAGAGCATTGCCAACTCCAAATAACTACGAGAACTACGTGATCCAAGCAAGATGGGGGAC